TAATTATCAAGACGCTATATAATGGAAGTTCTTCCCATATATACTCTTCATGTTCTATAATGTACGTTCGCATGGTTGCCTCAATTAAAAACTGACTTCTTCTCACTCACTCATTTGTGTCCTTTTTTGTGTGTGAGCTCCAGTGTCCATTGGACACTCTTCAATTTATGTGGTTTAATATCATCGAGTGCACAGAACTCGCCACCGAAATCTGGATCACGGCCACCAAGTTCAGTGAGCTGTGTCTCTAGCGAGTGCATGTGCAGCTGAACATTATGCCTGTTATTACGAAGCCCAAGTCATCAATCGAACCACCAATTACACACGCACATTCCTTCGTTGCTTTCAGATTGGTCATAACATCCGTGGACTGTTTCGCAGCCTTTGTCAAAGGTCACACTACGTCAGGGCGCACGGAAATCACTTCTGTAAGTAGCATCCGCTGCAACATGATCTCTACTCTGTGCATCTTCCTTTGGCCATTCAATTCACCGTGGGCGGATTGCCTACTCCCAGAATGCCAAGACAAGTAAGAACTAGCATCCTATCATAAAAACGCTGCTCCTCTCTGTTGCTGCCAGTGACGGACTACATTTCACTAGTCCACTCTCTTCCATCGCATTTCGGGCTGGAGTGTAAGTAGGGGCAAGTTTGATGTCTGAACTCGTCCGCTTCTTCTTACTATCACGCTACAGAATAATGAATGGGGTTGTGTCGCACAATCCCACAGGGAAGTGCTGGTTCCTGTCTGCGTCCACCATGGGAACAGGGTATTAATTCTGTCATTGTTTTCGGTTTGCAGGAAGTGTGTTTGTACTTTGTTGGACCTCTGTTGCACACTAGGGTTCAATATTCATTAATTTACCATCTGTCGCCGGAAGTGCTGTATCTGGTTGTTAAAGTTTGATTCTCGCGCGTTTTTTGGGCCCTCAGAAAAACGAAATATAGCTGAATTAGTATCTCAACCTGACAGTGGAAATCACTGATTATACCACAATTCAAAACACCAAGATTTTATGCAGTATAGCTTAATTGATTTAACCACACATACCAGCAATAAATTTTATCGGTGTCACGGACTCTCAAAAATCACAAATGGCGTCTCAAACAAGCGCAACATAATTAAAACAAACAAAGGGGGCAAATTCTGGTTTTGCGTAACTATTATTGGAGTTTCTGGCTCGTTTAACCGCGCGGTTTTTTTCAGGGTATCAATTGGGTTTAAATTTCAATTTTTGTTTTTCTTGGCCACGGCAGGGGAAAATTGTTGTAATTTCTGTGTTAACGGGCGGTCAGGTTTCAGTTATATCATTGTCTTCTCTGGCATGCAGGGAAGTGCTTGTACCTGTGTTAACGCGCCGTCAGGTTCATGTTTCATCATTGTTTTCTTGGCACGCAGGGAAGTGCTTGTTATCTGTCGTTAACGCGCGGTCAGCGGTTCATGTTGTCGTTGTTTTCACGCAGCGAAAGTGCTTGTACCTGTCTTACCGCGGTCGAGGTTTCATGTTCTGTCGTTGTTTATCACGCAGGGAACTGCTTGTACCTGTGTGTTAACCGGTCAGGGTTCGTTCTTGGTCCGTTGTTTCTCAACGCGCAGGAGATGCCGTTGTACCTGTGTTACCGCGGTCAGTGTTCATTGCTTGTCGTTGTTTTCACGCAGGACAGCTGCTTTGTACCTGTGTTAACGCTACGTCAGGTTCATGTTTGTCGTCTGTTTTCCACTGCAGGGAAGTGTCTGTACCATGGTTAATCGCCTGGTTTCAGGCGGTTCCAGTTGTTTATGTCCGTGTTTTCACGCAGGAAGTGCCCCTTGCTACTGTGTTAACGCGGTCAGAGGTTTCATGTTTGTCGTGCTTGTTTCACGCAGGGAAGTGCCTTGTTACCTTGTCGTTAACGCGTCAGGTTCATGCTCTTGTCGGTTGTTTTCACGCGGCGAAGTGCTTGTTACCTGTCGTTAAGCGCGCGTCAGAGGGTTCTATGTTTGTCCGTCTGTTTTCACGCCAGCGGAAGTGCTGATTTACCTGTCGTTACGCTGGCTCAGGGTTCTCATGTTTGTCGTTGTTTTTCACGCAGGGAAGTCGCTTCGTATCCTCTGTCGCGGGACTCATCCCGGACACGAATGACAGCGTGGACGACTCACAAGATGCTGACGTTTGCTATTGGCTTCACAAAACATGTCGCCGCACACGTTCTGCGCGGCAGCGCGAGCTGAAGACCGGTCTAAGCGCTTCTCACGCGCGCCCCCCACTCCCCCCAGTGATCACTCCACATGGACTACTACGTGTTGTCACACATCGTATGCTCAGTCCAGCCGT